TCTAATACGTGTATAGCGTCCGGGCCAATCATGTTAACTGATCAGAGTATGGCGTCCGGGGCAATCGGGCCATCTGATCCGTGTGTAGCGTCCGGGGCAATCAGGTTGATACGAGTATGCCGTCCGGGGCAGTCAGGTCAGCTGATACGTGTATGGCGTCCAGGGCAATCAGGTTGATACGGGTATGGCTTCCCGGACAGTCAGGTCAACTGATAAGAGTATGGCGTCCGGGACAGTCAGATCAACTGATACGCTTGGGACAGTCTGAAATGACGATGACAACAGAGAACTGGAGGCGGATGCCATCTCCAGCTCGGACCATACCCGACTGGACATATGTACCGATGTGTACCCGCGGCCTGCGACACCACGGTAAACCACAGCGGGCCCGAGCCCCCTCTCCCTCCAGCTACTCCGCGCGGGAAAGCCACGGCGCAGCACGCAACGGAAGGAAGTAACGTACAGTGGAAGTACTTTGAACAATGCACCCTCTTTAGATGATAAGCATAATTACAAGATGACCATGACTGCATCATTCCTTGCAACATGAAACAGTAAAGGAAAGTATTCAGAGCCATGCATCATTCGCTCATCCATTACAGCCATCGTTCATTCATTCGACAAACGCTTTTTAAAAAATCACTTAAGTGGACTTTGGCACACCTTTCAAAACGACCACGCTATTTTACCACAAAGTTTATCACAAGTTATCACAGCGCACGGTATGACCCTTCACACGCACTCATAAAATTGGTGTTATTTGGGCCCTCAAACGAGTGAGGTAATGGCCGTTTTGAACAAAACTTCTCTGCACTAGTTCTGGTGGTCAACGATTCTCGGTGTCTCCTTGGAGGGCCTTGGCCACTTCTCCAACGTCAGTCTAGGCCCCTTTGCTGCAACCTCCAAATCAACCCGAAAGTCGGCAAAAAACGATGGAAGATGGCAATAAATAGCCTATGCTGGAAAAATATCACGAAGCATTTGCTCTTCCCCCTCCCCCGTTTCGCTCTGGAGCGGCCCTCGCATTCAACATCCAGTCAGTTTACTCTGCATACATATCACCGCTTCCTGCTTCCTCGTTCGTATGGCCAAATGGCTTCGTGTGAAAACAGGAAAAAAACGAAAGGGAGGATACCGGAAGACACCGAGAGAGACATCGCACTGTGCGTCAAAATATGCAAATAAGAATGTTCGAAATCTTTCGGCGCGCTCGGGGTGAGGCACGCGGTGGCACTCCCGCTTGACGATTTCCTGGCCAAACGTGACTCGCTGTCTTTGGGCGGCCGGTTTTCCCAAACGGCGGCACCACTAGCTCTGACATATCTACTTAACGATGGCACAACGCCTGGAAAAGGCTGCGGTCAGGGTGGCGACCGCATTAGATTGTATCATCGCCGGGCCTCCCACACAAGCTAACCTTCCCCAACCCAGTTACAGAGTTCTGCGATGACACGGCGGCTGTCCGTGGAACCACTCAACAGACGCCACGTTTATCTAATCATCTCGCCGCTTCTTTAGCTCTAGTTCTGCTTACATGGGCTTACTTTCGCCAGTAGTGCATATTATGGGTAGCCCCATGTGTTCTGCTTACGTTTGCGTCCGTTACTGAACCACTCCCATTACAGGAGCGGTGGCATTTGCACTTTTCAGTTCCAACTCCGAGAACTTTACTTGAAACGCGAAGTCATATGATCAGGGGCGCAGTCAGTCTTGGTGAAGGGGTCGCAGCCGGGGGAGGGAGGGGAGGCGTACAGGGTTGACAAAAGGCCCTGCTGGTGAAAGACATTCCCGATCCGCCTCCCCCCCCCCCCCCCCCCACCCCGCCCCGAACACAAGAACACTGGATAACGCACTGGATTTCAGGAGGGCATTATTATATTTTTAAAAATTATTTTTCGTTCATTGAAACAGAAGCAAAAGGACGCCGGAGGATGTTAATATTTTTCGGTTTTCAATCAGTAACTGAAGGAATCAGGCCGACAGCAACCCGGAGGTGCTTTTCACTTCGCGACGGTTCGGCCGACTCATCTCAGCAGGGGACATGTCACTCAGGGGCTTCGACGGCACTTTTCTGGAATATGCAGCGATATTTTTTTTGTTTATTGGCGTATTCGCGCGCTCCGACCGCCGGGGTCATTTGGCGCCCAATACAGCGATATTGACAGCCGTAAAGGCAGAGCATGCAGATGGAGTTGCAGTCATACATTTTTATTAACATGGCTCACTCATTATCGTCCAGGAATGATCAACCTGCCTTCAGAATCGGTAGGGCAAAATTGTGCAATATAGTTCTGACGACGCGCGCTCGTATACATGAGCAAAACCTCGACGTCCGGTGTTGCAGCCATCGGCCGCGCAGTGTCGGCCCGGCCACTATCAAGTAAAGGCGGAGTCTCTATTTTCGTGCTGCTCAAACTGTCCATCTGTTGAGAGGAAAACCCCAAAATCGTATACGTGAAATACACGTCCTACGCTTATCTTTGAATGATGATGATGATTCGGGCTTTGAGGCGCGCTGACTGCAATGATCAAATGGCGCCCAGCTTATCCAGCTTATCTCTGAATGATACGAATTGATGCCTAAAGACTTTCGGAATCATTATTCCACGACGGCCGTCCTCGTGCGCTCGGCGCCCACCGCAGTCCACTGCAGCGGCCAACGCCGCTCGGTTTGTTGGAAACCACAGCCCCGGTCACCGGCGTCCTCATCCCCCCCCCCCCCCTCCATGATTGCGAGCGTGCTGGCACGAAACATGATTTGTTTCTCATCTTGATTCTGAAAAAAGGATAGACGTCCCCCTGCAATATGAGTTGGCCCTTTTCATTTGACCTCATTTTGATCTCACTGAACGCTACGGAAACCCCATACATTCTGCGGGCAAGCGGCGTCCTGAAAAGCACTAGGGAACACATAAGCTTTCGCAGCCAGGGGCTGAAGGACCGTTCTGTCCCCACGCGGGACGCCTACCGGCTGCCATGCTGGCGATGCGGGGTCATCTGGTCGATCTGGAAGTCCTTAGAGGAATCAGTCACGCATCGGGCAACTCCCTGGCTCGAGAGGCCCTCTGATCTGAGCAACTGGCTCCGGATGGACGTAAGGGTTTTCTTGAGGCAAAAGATGATTTGCTCGAAGCTGTGCAGCCCAGTGATAAGCAAAAAGACTCCGGTTCGGCTTTCCGAGCCGCTGGCTGAGATTGGATGAAGGGAACTGCACTTCCGCACCAGAGACCTTGACACCAGGTCCTCCCATCGTTTCATTGTAGACTCTCACTGTACGTTCTTTAATTCCCTCGCATTGTCCGAGGGTGTCGACCAACGCGAGAGGCCCTCTGGCATTTGGGGTCCCGTCCCCGACCCTGTTCAGCAACTATTCCCCTGCCCGACTCGGGGCCGCTGTTAGGAACTGTGAGCCCTAACCGACACTGGGCCCCTTCAGTGTTTCAAGGGTCCCGGCAAATATGAAAAGCGGGTCCCGACCTTTTCACTGCGCTCAGGAAATGATCCCTCAGGCTCAGATCGATACGGAGCCGACTGTTCGGTGCTAGAGATACGTTACCGTTAAAGCAGCCCTCTTCGACTCAAAGGGCCAAGGATCGGCGCAAAGAGCCCTCTCATTGACTTTGAAAGCCCGGCTCAGCTGAAAAACCTTTAACACGGCTTCTGCGTGGCCCTTGGTCTCCCCGGGCCCCGGGCTCTCAAATCGGGCACTTCCTCGCTGGTCCCGAGCGGCCTTTCGGGCGCCTCGGGATCTGAGGAACTTAAGGGGGGGGGGGGGCCTCCTGTGCCCATGCCTACTCCACTGCCTGTGATGCCCAGAAACCACCCTGCTTCGAAACAAGAAACCCCAACATCCTGCCATCCGGAGCAAACTGTCCGTCGAGGGCGTAGAAAGAAGAATCCAAAATTTGACACGGACGGATGCCACCACCTGGGAACATCGCAGAGCGCGTCACTAGATGGCAGCACACGCACGGCCAGCCCCATGTGGCAGCACACAGCACGCCGCATGTTCACATGGAAAGACCATGCATACGTAAAATGCAATTGTTGGCACGCGAATGTTTTAAATAATTCGCTACGTATAAAAACAGACGCAAAATTTCGTACCAAACGGTGCACGGGCAAATGTTCGCATCGGTTTACGGAGCGCATGGAAAAGTCGTTCGAGCAAAGGGTTTTAAACATTATACTGACACCCGCGGCTGGATCCACAATGAACATAACTTTGTGAGCAAATATTTGCACATGATATTGAGTACATACGTGAAAGAACCGCATTCACCAAAAATCCCTTGAGAGTCAAATTCGGGCGCATGGCCCGATTCGCAAACGACCACGACTGAACAGCCACAGGAGGAAGGTCCCAGCCAGAGGAAGGTCGCACGCCCCTCCCCCCCCCCCCCATACCCTCGCCCCCCGGTATCGTGGGCTCGCAGTGACACTTCATCCGAGGCCCCATGCAAAGGAGTATCTACATGCGAACTTACACTGTACATCCGCATACAAACTTTACCGCACGTACATACTTTTGTCACACATTTACCTCTGCCGAGCATTTGTGTGAGAACTTAGGGTACTTGTATATTATATCGGCCAGCAAAACTTTTCGTACGGGCTACCGTCATACGAAATTTCTGCGACTTTCCCCATTTAGCTTAGCGTGAGCTCTGATCCCTGAGATCCATCCATTCAAAGGGTTCGGATCAAATCTTTAAAATAAAACAAATAAAAAATTTAGAACTTCTGCGCATGCACACATTTTCATCATTGAATATTTCTGGGCGAACATCTCACCATGCCGACTTCAACCCATGCATCCTTTACCTTAGTACTTAAACCTTCGTTCGATCAACCCGACGAACTCGAGACATGCTTAAATTATCCCACAAACCCATACCAACATGGTCTACATAGTTTTGTCAGGAACCCCGACGCCCGTGAGACCACGTGACCCGCCATATTGGTGCAGCACCGGCGGCCATATAGGTGGCAGCACTTACTAGTCCACCTGGGAGCAGAACTCTTGGATGGGTACACAGACGTGCAGCACGCCGGCGGGGTCCTTCGCATAGAGCCGGCACATCGGGCCTGGGAAGGCGGGCTCCACCGTATAGGACTCGTGCCGCACGTGCACAGCCACCAAGCCGTTGTCTGGAAGGGACGAATCACAGTCACAGGCACGCCGGCCACAATAAGGGGTAGTTTAATGAACCTTCATTGCTTCGGCGACTCGATTGAAAAATGTATTGCTTGCAAGAGGCACTGCGTGGGCTGCGAAAGGTCAAGATGGAATCGGGGCAAGTCGAAATGTTTTATTGTGGAAACGTAATCTACGAGCATACGCAGATTTCTAAGAAACGTGAAAAGCCAACCACTATTCGTTCCACCGCAGAAACATTTCAGCATCACCGCAGCAAGTGAGAAAGCTATACTTCATGTCTTTGAAGCATACGACTAGACACCAGTGTTAAAGGAAAACCCATGACGCAGAGTGGAAACAAAATAGCAAACGCCTTTTAAGCAGCGTGTAATTGATGGGCCCAATGTTGTCATCGTTGTTACGCACAAAGAAAACTTGACAATTACAATTGACGTTCGTTTGCTAGTCGTTAGGTGACATCATGGCTGGTCGGAAGATGGCCGCCTACTTAAAGCAACCAAACCACCTTGGACAGGTAGCACATCACCCTTGGGCCGTACCCTCCATTTATCAAGATCGTAGTGAACGGAGCACGTGCCGACGTGCTGTCCTTCGGAGAACATATGCATGTTATTTAGGTGCGAGTACACCTGCCGCACATATCAGGCCACAACGGTTTGGCTGTTCTCTGACCCTGTACTCTGATCGTTGCCAACACCAACGTTAACAGAGCACGGCACTGAGACAATGCCACCGCCAGCGTCTTCCTCAAACTTAACATAAGTTGCCCTGGCGGTGCTGCCTCCGCATGCTGCGTTTCAAGGGCTTGTCCAGGTCGAAACGAAAGGCGGTCATTACTTTTACGCCCGCTTCTCAATCTTATTTGAATTTACCTATGCCTGTGTGTCAGGAGGCCGAGCGAGTGAAAATCCCGGTTAGAATTTAAGCGAAATCAATAAACAGCTCTGATTATAAGATAAACAAAATGAATTTGACAACCAGGATGGTCAATTCCATTACACACCCTGATCACACCCTGATCATCAACTGAAGAAGTCAGCCGGAAAGGCCAGTTCATCACCAAAAGGCTGAGTCGTCACCATTGGTGCCAGTTAATATCTGGTATAGTAAACCGACCAGACATGAGGGTTACAACCACCGATACGGGTGGAAGGACAAGGGCAAGGGCAAGGGCAAGGGCAAGGGCAAGGGCAAGGACAAGGGTAAGGGTAAGGGTATGGGCAATGGCTAGGGTAACGGCAGGGACATGGGCAAGGCAACAATCACCAAAATTGACTAAATTCAGAGGCCCTGAAGGGCCAGCTCCTGTCCGGTCGTTAAGTTCATGACTGCCCAGACCTTTCTTTTGTCTCATTGTGGACCATTTCACCGAGAACATTTCCATTCCATGCCAGGCAACGAGGAACTCGACCAACGCAAATGGCTATCTCACTTCCCCGTTCCCGTCCTGTTCTTTTTCAGCAAATGTGTCTCTGGTCGACTAGGAGCCCCTTGCCGACACAGGCTCCCCTGTAAATCACTTTGAGCCTTGATACAGCGGGTCACCTTGTTCCAGGGGTCCCGGTCAACGCATGAGGCCTTCAGTAACAAATGCGGACACTAGCCATGTCCCTGCTTCGTAAATGGAACTCCAGTGTCCAAGCAGCCAACGGAGAGCCAACCGCTCAGCATTGGTGGTCTCGGATTTAGAAGACGCCTTTGTCGTTAGGGGGACCCTCTCACATGCGCGACGAGTCCCTTTGGCTGACCTTTGAGGGCACGGCCTCCGCCCCGGGTCGTTCCCTGGCCAGCCCTCAGGGTCCTCCAATCGGGCCCGTAATAACCCCCGAGGGTCGCTCAGGGCCTGGCGGGAGGAGATGTGCCCTGTGCCCTGAACCACGGCACTAATCCGATCGGTGATGAAGTGTTTATTTTGCTTGTGATTCATCCAATCTGGTAGAAGTGGCCATTTAGGTCACTTTGAATTCATTTTTGGTGACCGGCTAATTGGGAGCCATTGTAAAATAAGGGTGCCGGGTTGCGCCGTCACCGTCAGGCTTGACTTCCACATCTCCAGGGTGGGGGTATACAGGATGGCGTATACTAGGCGTAGTAGTATCGGGGTTTTCGGGGTGTGTCGACTGCGGCGGTCATTTAATATCCACACCTTAGTCTCCGAAATTCATTCAATCCATCTTCACCCATCACGTAACATTCCGGAGCTGACATCGTCTCCACGCCAGCTCCAGCGCAGCTCTCCTCTAAGACCACATTTCGTGTCACGGCGCAGCACCGCGGCCGGCAGGCATCGGGTTCCAACGCGGAGTCGACAGCCGCCGCCCGTCCTCGCCAACTGAGAGCCCAATAGCCATACGAGAGGACCGCTTACAGGACAGCGTCACGTTCCGCCGGCGTGACCCGACGCCGAACGACTCGCTCCAGAGAGACCTTCCTACCCCCACCCCACCCCGCCGAATGGGAGCATTCGCTTACAACTGGCTTGTCTGCCGCAAACCCAACGAAGTGGGCTTAACCAGCCGTTCTAGTCGCGCAACAGGTCAGAAACAGGCCACGTTTCACGCAGCGCGTCGTCGGACTGTATCCGACTCGGACCGCATCGCTTTGCACGTCGCAACGGGAACGAAGTGACGTGCGACAGCGCCGATCGCAATTCGCGGCGCCCGTTCCATGTGCGGTCGGGTCCCGGCTGGCACCGCCCCTGCTCTAGAGTGGGGTCGTCCGCGCGTCTGATCGCCGTCCGGCGCCTCACGGCCACCGGCCGCTTGGTGCTGGGACACAGCCACGTGGCACGTCCCGGCCCGGGCCGGGCCGGGCCGAGCCGGGCTGCAGGCCATCTGCGCAGCACCTAGGCCTGGCGGAGGCCGCAGACGGGGCGGCGCCACGAGCCGCCACCGGCCGCCGGTCACCGGTCACCGGTCAGCAGCTGCCGGTCAGCACGCCGCTGCCGGCCGCGGCGGCCTCCTGAGGGCTACAAGGCCGATCCCGCCCCGAGGCTGGGTCCCAAGTTAAGCCGAATCACAACCGCCCACGTAAAGAAAGCAAATATCACGGCACATAACGATCTGCGACCTGGTTTCCGTCCACAACGCAGCTGAGAGCACCGCCGACGGCGACCCAGCGCTCTGCAGCGGCAGCCGGCAGCCGGCAGCGGCCGATCACTGTCACCCGATTGAGTACTCCAGCCTGCAGGCTACCCGCCCTGCCAGTTGTGGCAGTGTACGTTGCAGGCTGCCTGCCCTGCCAGTTGTGGCAGCGTACGTTTTAGGATAGCTCGTGATTTGTTGACTGACGAGCCTATTCAATTATCCAATGGGCTTACGGTAACGACAAAATTCGCCGTTGCTCGAAACGGTACGTCCCCAGGGGACAGGACTTTATTGCGCCGTGTTTGATTACGTTAGCCAAGTAGTTACGTGCCGCGATGTTTGCTTTCTTTACGAGGGCGATTGTGACTCGGCTAACTTGGGACTCAGCCTCGGGGCAAGGTGCCCGACCCCGGGGCGGTGTCGGCACCGGACTCTCCCCCGGGCAGTCTCGGCGTCGACAAGACCGGGCTGAGACCAGCCGCAGGATCTGAGCGGCTCCGCCCGCCGCCTGCCGCTCACGCGCTCGAATCACACAGGCGGTGCCGACTTCTGAGGGCGTGTTCTGTTTCCAGGCGCCCGCAGAGGCGTGTCCAACCCCCCAAAACTCGTCCCGCCCTCCGAACCCTGGAACCAGGTATGGGATAGGATAAAGAGGATCATTTCAGTACGTGGATGGGAGTTGTGTGGTCTATGATTCTTTTTTACTTGACTCACCCTCACCGGTGTTCGCCAGAGCGAGGCCGGGTCCCAGAGGCTCCGCTCCCTCCTGGCACACTAGCAAGCTGGCCCCGGGAGCGCTGCCCTGACCGCGCGAACCCCTGGAGTTCTGCTCTCATATTCGGCCAACAAAGCATTCCGGAGCCTGACACCGCTACGCCGCAAGGAGCTGACCGTTGTTGATTGATATTGTTGGTTGGGGTTTTAGGGCGAGCCGACTACTTAGCTCATTTTGCGCCCATGACAGCTAAATCACTACATAAGTACGTAAGCACAAGACTGCTAGCTATGCTCGACGCGCGTTGGCAAGCTCCTCGATATGGCTTGAGTGCGCCCTAGTCATCGCGGGGGCACCGATTCCGATACTAGGAAGTTGATTGCAGGCTCTGGGAATCCAGTTAACACCAGAAATCAAGACCGCTAGAGAACAGCGCTTGATTCCAGGAGCAATCGTTACAACATGAGCCTCATAACCATCAGGGCTTCTGATCCTGTTATCTAACGCTGGCTGGACGTGCGTCGCGGTCCCTGGCACCGCCTGTCGCAAATGGCGCAGCTGAAGCATGGGGGGAGGGTGTGAAGTTTCCTGGTCATCCGCTCACAGCGTTCCTTTCCACTCTTAAACATTGCAGAACCCACCCCACTGGGGCACCCCGACCAGACGTCCAGTACTCGGCCGCGGCGACACGGCAGGAATGGCGGGACATAAGGGGAGACGACGCGCGCCCGGCAGGCCAGGGCGTCCCCTTCGCGCGCAATTAGTCGCCGATAGTTTATGGCCTGTGCCGCCCTCCGGCGGTGCCCGACACGAGAGCGCGCTGTCAACACGAGCCGAAGGCAGACGGCCGTCCGGTCCGCCACGGTTACCATGCACCGGGCGCTGCCATACCGGCTTCGGGAGGCGAGGGCGCTCCTGTTAGCGAGCGGCCCGCCTCGATTACCGTGCACCGGGCGCTGCCATACCGGCCTGGGGAGGCGAGGACGCTCCTGTTACCGAGCGGCTCGCCCCGATTACCGTGCACCGGGCGCTGCTATACCGGTCTCGGGAGGCGAGGGTGCTCCTGTTAGCGAGCGGCCCGCCTCAATTACCGTGCACCGGGCGCTGCCATACCGGCCTGGGGAGGCGAGGACGCTCCTGTTACCGAGCGGCTCGCCCCGATTACCGTGCACCGGGCGCTGCTATACCG